ACGTCACAGTCATGCTGCAAACAACCGTAAATGCAGCGCAAACTGTAGTCGTGTGGGGGTAAGGAAGGACCAGGGCTTTTTTGGTCAGAGAATGCCCAGAATGGAGTTCCGGCACCTTTTTTGGATGGAACCTTGTAGGGTAGGCAAGGCGGGTTGTATGACATGTGTGAGTTCTGGACCTTTTTTTTTTTTTTTTACAAAAAAGAGCACTGGGAAGGACAAACATCGGAACTTTGAATTCTGTTTTCTGTAATCCCTTTCCAAACTTGGAATGCTTTGTTTGATCTTTCTGCACCTCTGCTCCATTGTCTCAGTGCAAGGTGGAAAATATATCAGAACTGGGGTGTAATTTGAACTCCAAGCATGGACAGGGAGCACTGTAATATCAGATTCCTTGGAAGGGTTATCTGGACACTGAATCGTTGTGAGAAAAGAAAATGATGGGTTTCTGGTGAGGACGTGGCAAACCGAAGACATCCCTGAAGAAGCAGGGATGACATTACGGCTAAAATTACCAACAGAATGTGGGATCTTGGCTAGTGAAAATCTCTCCGGAGAAAGGAGAGGTTGTGAGATTGCCCACACATACTCCGGATAATAGCTCTTCGTGAATAGATGGCAGGAACCAATAGTTTTTCTATCTTCTTGTAAGTCAAGCAGCTGGGTATCCAGTAGTTCCATCTAAGTGCACCGTTATAATGTAGCCATTAAGGCCATAAAGTTCAGCCAATCCTTATTTCTTAATCACTTCAGGATTATTTTTGATTACTTTTTTTAAATATTGAGAACCTTTGGAAAAGCCAGTTTTATGTTATTCACTGGGTGAGTGGTCGGAGATGACTAGGATGTGCCTGGGGTCAAACAGGTCATAAGTCACACATCCTTGCACACCCGCAATCGATCTAAGTCCAGCCCACATTGACTGCCTTTCTTATCTCCCACTCTTTTCCCTTAATGGCCAGTTGGTCAGATTCTTGTAGAGAGTTTAAGCTTGCAATAAATTTTGATACTCGTTAAAGAACTGCCTGAATCTCCTGATTTATGCAGTACTTGACAGTGAGCTTCTTTTAATCTTTTACAGTAGAAGTTTTAGGGACAAATTTAAGAGAAAGAAAAAAAATTAAAAAAAATCTTTTTCAGAATTAATAGCAAACGGGTGATTAGAATGTCAATTTTAGAAAGTTATAAATGGACTAAGAGTCCAGATAGGTTTAATACTATTTTGAAATTGAATATATTTTTTTTTTCTGGAGGAAACTAGTTTTGGTTTTGGTTTCCGAAGAAAAACCTGATAAGATGGAACTTTGAGGTTTAGACACTAGAGAGTGCTAGAAGGAAATAAAGATCACAGCTAAAGGAAAAGCATACTTAAACTCAAATTGGTAATGCTGAATATTTCAGCAATGGATCTATTTCAGCAATGGAGATATTTGTGAACAGTGGAGTCAGAAGCTAATGTTAAGGCACACATCATTATTGAAGCAATGGATGGAAACTAATCAAGGAGAGAAGCAACCTAGAACTAAGGAGAAATTTCCTGCCAGTTAGAACAATTAACCTGTGGAACAACCTGCCTCCAGAAGCGGTGAATGCTCCAACACTGGAAGTCTTTAAGAAGAGACTGGACAGCCATTTGTCTGAAATGGTATAGGGTTTCCTGCTTGAGCAGGGGGTTGGACTAGATGACCTCTAAGGTCCCTTCCTATTCTATTCTATTCTATTCTGTTCTATTCTATTCTATTGATAGACTAAATAATGTTACAAAAGAGGAACAAGCTTTACTAGATAAGACTGAAAGTGATTTAAATCTAGATTTAAAAATCAAAGACTTCAAGAAGCTTATGGAAAAAGATGAAATTACTGAATGCACAAATAAAACTGGTTGATGTTTTAATAAGTAAAAGGACACATAAATAATGGATCAGAAACGTGACTCAGGTAACCTTTCTATATTGGATTTACAAAAGGGATTTGTTAACGCTGTCAGCAATTTTGTGAGAAGAGACAAAGAGAAAATAAAAGAAACCAAGCATTTGGGTATCATCTGAAGAGACTAAAGAACAAGATTGTTGGGAGCAAAGGAAAATAATACAATGTTGGCTTGTTGTGTTTTTTTTTTTACTAGGCCTGGATGAAGTTTTAAGGTTTTGTTTCTTGTTGTGGTTAGTTGCGAAGTCGTGTCTGACCCATCGCGACCCCATGGACAACATTCCTCCAGGCCTTCCTGTCCTCTACCATCTTCTGGAGTCCATTGAAGCTCACGCCTACTGCTTCAAGTGACTCCATCCAGCCACCTCATTCTCTGTCATCCCCTTCTTCTATTGCCCTCAATCTTTCCCAGCATTAGGCTCTTCTCCAGTGAGTCCTTCCTTCTCATTAGGTGGCCAAAGTACTTGAGTTTCAACTTCAGGATCTGGCCTTCTAAAGAGCAGTCGGGGTTGATCTCCTCTAGGACTGACCGGTTTATGTTAAATGGGAAAGAGTTCATTTGTTGCATTTTAAATCTATTAAATTAAGGTTAAAACAATCACAGTGATATTGTTTCATATTGTTTATTGGATCTTTATTGATTAGATTTGAAGGATGAGGTTTGGCAGATTTGTTTAAAGATAGAAAATGAGAAATAGATGTCAAAGGAAAGAATACAGATAGATTTATTAGTCCAAGTTGATAATAACTATGTTCTTATTTCTGGTAACCCTTAATGGACTTTTACTGATTTGGATGGATGAGGAGGATTTAATAGAGAATGAAGTGAAATATGAGATGAAGAGATTGTTGTATCTTAAAAGATGGAGGGGGAGGTTGCGAACAGCAACACGCACCCCAAATTTCTGACAATTTCTGAAAAGCAAAATGGCCCCCTATTTTCTGCTCTAGATAAATTGGGGGATAAGCCAAGATAATGATTGTGGGGCCCTGGGTGCTCTCTGAGCTTGGTTGTTTTCTTGCAGATGTTTCATTACCCAACTGGATAACTTCATCAGTGTTGGTAGAAAGGGAAATTTGCTCTCATTTTATAAACTAGTGGCTTGCCCGGTCAGCATTGGTGGTCTACTGTTCTTGGTGCTTCCTTGATTGGGTTGTTATTTACTGCTAGCTTGTTTGGCAGAGGATAGATGACGAGAGGTTAGATGGGGAACTCATCAAATTTGCAGACGACACCAAGCTGGCAGGAATAGCCAACACTCCAGAAGACAGGCTTAGGATACAGGAGGATCTGGACAGACTTGAACACTGGGCGCTATCTAACAAAATGAAATTCAATGGTGAAAAAAGTAAGGTTCTACATTTAGGCAAGAAAAACCAAATGCACAGGTATAGTATAGGGGGTACCTTGCTCAATAGTAGTAACTGTGAGAGGGATCTCGTAGTCCTAGTGGACAATCACTTAAATATGAGCCAGCCGTGTGCTGCAGCTGCCACAAAAGGCAATACACTGCTAGACTGCATTAACAGAGGGATAGAATCAAGATCACATGAAGTGTTAATACCACTTTACAATGCCTTGGTAAGGCCACACTTGGAATATTGCATCCAGTTTTGGTCACCACGATGTAAAAAAGATATTGAAACTCTAGAAAGAGTACAGAGAAGAGCAACAAAGATGATTAGGGGACTGGAGGCTAAAACATATAAGGAACAGTTGCTGGAATTGGGTATGTCTAGTTTAATGAAGAGAAGGACGAGGGGGGACATGATAGCAGTCTTCCAATATCTCAGGGGCTGCCCCAAAGAAGAGGGAGTCAAGCTATTCTCCAAAGCACCTGAAGGCAGGACAAGAAGCAATGGATGGAAACTAACCAAAGAGAGAAGCAACATAGAACTAAAGAGAAACTTCCTGGCAGTTAGAACGGTTAACCAGTGGAACAACCTGCCTCCAGAAGCGGTGAATGCTCCAACACTGGAAGTCTTTAAGAAGAGACTGGACAGCCATTTGTCTGAAATGGTATAGGGTTTCCTGCTGAAGCAGGGAGTTGGACTAGATGACCTCCAAGGTCCCTTCCAACTTCATTATTATTATTATTATTATTATTATTATTATTATTATTATTATTATCATCATCATCATCATCATCATTGTCATTATCATCATTATCATTATTAGTTCTTGAATGGGCTATTGTTTGCTTCTGGTCTAATGTTAATTTTTGTGTTAATCTCTGTCCATCTGAGTACTGATTGTTGGTGAGGAGGTGTAACCTGGTAATGAAATGCTTCCAAGACAACAACCAAGCTCAGAGAGCACATTTCAACCCTGAGCTACACAAGCATCCTCTTCTATCAATAGAATGATTCTTATATAGTTCAGTCCTCCCACCAGCCTGGAATTCACTTAACAGAATAACAAAGTTGGAAGGGACCTTGGAGGTTTTCTAGTCCAACCCCTGCTCAAGCAGGAGACCCTATACCAGAGGCCCCCAACCTTTTGGGGACCCCTGCCCTATACCATTCCAGACAAGTGGCTGACCAGTCTCTTCTTAAAGACTTCCAGTGTTGGAGCATTCACCGCTTCTGGAGGCAGATTGTTCCACTGGTTAATCATTCTAACTGTCAGGAAGTTTCTCCTTAGTTTTAGGTTGCTTCTCTCCTTGATGAGTTTCCATCTGTTGCTTCTTGTCCTGCCTTCAGGAGCTTTGGAGAATAGCTTGACTCCCTCTTCTTTGGGGCAGCCCCTGAGATACTGGAACACTGCTATCATGTCCCCTCTCATCCTTCTCTTCATTAAACTTGTAAGGAATTGGGCATGTCTAGCCCAATTCCTTACAAGATTCCACCTTAACAAGGTGTTTTGAGAGGCAACTAACATTGCATCCAAGCCCAGCTGGGACTTGTAGAGAGCAGAAAAACGCAGTGTCCCATTGGTTTCCAGTATGTTGAGAGAGAGGAGGAATAACTGAGCACACGTACGCCGGTTCTGTTTGTGTGTATCTAGGTGTGTGTGTGTCTGTGTGAGTGTGCATGCACGCCCCGTCTGTGTCGCTGTGTGACCTCCCCCTGTGATGTAAAACACGAGAGTCTAGGAGCTACCCATTTTATAATGCAACTGCTTTGGTGACTGTGCAGAGCGATTTGGCTTAATTACACAGGCGAGTGGGAACCCAGCAGCTGATGGGGTGGGGGGGCCTGTCGTGAAGCTGCTGCTGCTGTTTAGGGAGGCTCTGCTTTTGTTCCCGGGAAACCTGCCTTTTGGGGTGAGTGATGCAGCTTCGGTTGTTGTTGTTTTTTTTCTTCTACAGAGGATGGCTAATTTGTCTTTCAGCTTTCCATGGATTTTCTGCGCAAGATCTCTGTCAGTGGGGCTGGCAAGGGAGGAGGGGGGAGGGTTAGCACCCTGTCAAGCCATTATCTTTATGCCCACGTTTGGGGGATGATGGAGAAGAGGATGGGTGAACGTGGTTGAATTCTGCCAAAAAAAAAAAAATAGCTGAAGTTTTTGGCTTTCCTTTTAAAAAAACCAAAAATCGGTCCTCGGCACTGCTATTGAAAAGCACTAACCGCAACAGCATGGAGCTGTTCCTGGAGCTGCTTGCTTTTGCTGTTGGAAGGCAGGCAAGGTGGAAAAACTCAGCATTTTAGTGTATAGCAATATCTTAGGGGACGGCTATTAAAAACTGCTTCAGACCCCTGGCTGCAGGAAATCCAGCATCGGCAGTCAAGCACGCCATCTGAAACTGTAACGGATCAAATCATGGCAGAAGAAAAAGAAGAAATGGCTTTTCCTAGATTTCTTTTTCTCCTGCCATGATTTGATCCGTTACCGTTTCAGATGGCATGCTTGACTGCCGATGCTGGATTTCCTGCAGCCAGGGGCCTGAAGTGGTTTTTAATAGCCGTTCCCTAAGATATTGCTGTACACTAACGCTGAGTACCAAAGGGTTTCCTTGCGGCTTACATATGGACGCATGTATGGTGCGGGCAATGTCCAGATTTTGGCAGTGCTTCGATTTTGCATATGGTCTTCTCAAGTTAATGTCTAGAAAAGCTGGGGAAAAGAACAGGTAACCCGTCACCCGATGGATCTGACTGCGGTTGGCAGCCGTCTGTGATATTACAACCCAAAGGAGACAAATACATTATCTGGGTTTTGGATATTCCTGAAATGTGACCGAGGTTTAGAAGGCAATGGAAATGCAAACTTTAAACAGATTCTGATCCTTCACTCTGATGATGCATGCCCTGTTTACTTCATGCAGTAGGTGAAGAGAATCGGGTGTTAATCTTTAAGTAGCCAACAGAATCGGTTGCAGGAATCCTGTTTTTGTTCCCAGTGAAAGGTTTTAACACGCTCACCCTACTCTACCTGGCATCATTTTTGCTCTTGGAAAATAATAATACTAAATCGTGTCTCGTTCTTATTATTCCGCTACCTCGTTCTCTTCAGAAGCTTAGAAAACAAAAAAAAAGCTTTAATTTCTTTCCCCCCCCCCCCGTATTCACATTTATTTTGGAGAGTGCAGAGTTAAAGCGGTACCTGCTTCTCCCATGTCTTTTTCTGATAACTTTGCAAGTGCAATAGGTTAGTAGCCTAAGAATAATAATAATAATAATAATAGTAGTAGTAGTAAAGTTGGAAGGGACCTTGGAGGTCATCTAGTCCAACCCCCTGCTCGGGCAGGAAACCCTACACCATTTCGGACAAGTGGCTGTTTCTGAATTTATCTGAAAAGCGGGGTAATGTGTTATTTAGGCACGAATCCGCTCAGCCTATTAATATACACCTGTTTCTCTTTATATGCAGTTTTCCTTCCCACCCAAAACTGACATCTTGTGGGTTTGAACAACGGATGGAAACTAATCCAGGAGAGAAGCAACTCAGAATTAAGGAGAAATTTCCTGACACTTAGAACAATTAACAAGTAGAACTGCTTGCCTCCAGAAGTTGTGGATGCTCCAACACTGGAAGTTTTTAAGAAGAGATTGGACAACAATTTGTCTGAAATGGTATAGGTTTCCTGCCTGAGCGGGGGGTTGGACTAGATGACCTCCAAGGTCCCTTCCAACTCTGCCATTCTGTTATTCCGATAATACCTGGAAAAAAGAATGGTATCGTTTTCTTGCCAGCAATCTAACTAGCTTTATAATGTCTCTCTGTGTTGCTTGTGACTGTCATAATAAAAGTTGTTGTTGTATACTACTGTAGCAGAAAAACAGAAGAGCAGAGTTGGAAGGGACCTTGGAGGTCATCGAGTCCAACCCCCAGCTCAGGCAGGAAACCCTATACCACTTCAGACAAATGGCTGTCCAATCTCTTCTTAAAAACTTCCAGTGTTGGAGCATTCACCGCTTCTGGTGGCAGGTTGTTCCACTGGTTAAATGTTCTCACTGTCAGGAAATTTCTCCTTAGTTCTAGGTTGCTTCTCTCCTTGATTAGTTTCCATTTTTTGCTTTTTGTCCTGCCTTCAGGTGCTTTGGAGAATAGGTTGATTCCCTCTTCCTTAGACCATCTCATCCATCAACTAATATTCAGTCCAAATTTCACTAGTGTGAATTCTTTAGAGGGCCAGGGAAAACTTGAATGTGCTATACAAATGTTATGCTGCATTTTTATTAGCCTTGAGCAAACCAGTCCCCTCCTGGTTTTAATCGTTCCCATCCATGGGTTTGTTTTTTTTTATGTATGGGATTTAAACTGCCCTTACTTGCCAGGTTCTCATGTAAATTGTTACGGTCATCTAATGCTTTAAGGCACTAAACCACAATATAAATTCTAGCCATCTTTAATATGCTCTAAATCTGTTCAACTTTGGAGGGGGGCAAATGATCTGCTTTGCCTTTGGAGATGATGGCAGTGAAAAGAATTAAGCGTGTAAGAATATTTTTCACCAATGGAATATCCCGTGTTAGCCCGAAGTCTGCTTTTTCAAGAGGCAACTGGACTTTCTTTGTTTTTCCATGAAGATGTTTCGCCTCTCGTCCAAGAAGCTTCTTCAGTTTCTGACTGAATGAGGGCGAATAGAAGGATTTATATTCTTTGCAGTCATTGGCACGCTAAAGGTCTGTTGAGGGGGGGGGGCTGTTGAGACCACTTGGGGATTTATCTGCAGACCAGATGATTGCAAAGAACATAAATCCTTCTATCACCACCATTCGGTCAGAACTGAAGAAGCTTCTTGGCTGAGAAGCGAAATGTTTTCAAGGGGAAAAAAAACCAAACAAGAAAAAATGATTTTTGAGAAAGCACCTTTAGGACATCATGGATGACTGAGAATCTCCAGAGACATTCCCTGTTAGCATTTTTCTCCCTTGAAATGGAATCTGTTTGTATAGAAAGCTGGGGAAACTGTGACACTTAGCATCTATATTTCCCGTGTACATGCAATTTACAGCAGCAATATTAGAAGCCAGTCCTGTCATATACAATGTATAATTTCTATTTCATCTAACACATACTTGCATGAAAAACTGCTGTGCCCAGTATAAATCCAAGTAATTTTGTATGATCTGGTTGAAAACATCCAATCAGGTGTCCTCAAGGCATTTTAAACATCAGCTCCTAGAATTTTACATTTTTTTATTATAATTTTGTTTTTTCTATCTTATGACTGGCTCAGCTGGAGCAGATTGGTCCAAAATAGCTGGAGGAGACTGGTTTAACCCATCGTAGTCTCAGATAACATTTCAGAGAATTGACATGATTAGATGTTCATATCTATCATATACATATCATATACCACAGGACATTACTAAACTTTGTTTTCAAAGGAGCTTGACAAGAATTTCTCTGAAGTGGATGATTGGGTAATAAAGCAGCCCATTGTTCTCAGCATCAGGAAAGTGATGCATTTTGGAACAGAAGTCTTGAATTGATTTGCTCATTGGCCATGACAGAGCAGAAAGGACACTTCCATGAAAATATCTGATTCCATGTCTACCAGTTGAAACAGCAACATCAAGACGAGAGTCGGTTAACAAAGGATTCCAAATTAAAGATGCTTTTAAACTTGTCCTCGGAGTCCTAGTGGACAATCACTTAAATAGGAGCCAGCCGTGTGCTGCAGCTGCCAAAAAGGCCAACACAGTGCTGGGCTGCATTAACAGATGGATAGAATCAAGATCACGTGAAGTATTAATACCACTTTACAAGGCCTTGGTAAGGCCACACTTGGAATACTGCATCCAGTTTTGGTCACCGCGATGTAAAAAAGATGTTAAGACTCTAGAAAGAGTGCAGAGAAGAGCAACAAAGATGATTAGCGGACTGGAGGCTAAACATATGAGGAACGGTTGCTGGAATTGGGTATGTCTAGTTTAATGAAGAGAAGGACAAGGGGGGACATGATAGCAGTCTTCCAATATCTCAGGGGCTGCCACAAAGAAGCTAGTCAAGCTATTTTCCAAAGCGCCTGAAGGCAGGACAAGAAGCAACAGATGGAAACAAATCAAGGAGAGAATCAACCTAGAACTAAGGAGAAACTTCCTGACAATTAGAACAATTAACCAGTGGAACGACCTGCCTCCAGAAGCAGTAAATGCTCCAACACTGGAAGTTTTTAAGAAGAGACTGGACAGCCATTTGTCTGAAATGGTATAGGGTTTCCTGCCTGAGCAGGGAATTGGACTAGATGACCTCCAAGGTCCCTTCCAACTTTATTATTATTATTATTATTATTATTATTATTATTATTATTATTATTATTACTACTACTACTACTACTATGGCTCATCACACAGTCAGCCAGATGTTCAGACTGGATTTGGCATTTTGTCTACCTATCGAGTCCTCACCCAGGACCTGGGATAGGCAGATGTGGATGTTTGATGGTATTACAGATATCGTCTCAGGATGGAAGCAGTTCCTAATAAGGCCGCCTTTTGCAATTGACTAATAGCAAATTTGTCAATGCCAATGGTGTTCAAGTGGTGCTCCAGTTGTTTTGGGATTGCACCCAAGGAGCATATGACTATTGGTACTACCCTTGCTTGCTTTTGCCACAGTCTTTCTATTTCTATTTGTAGGTCTTTGTATTTTGTTATCTTCTCCAGTTCTTTCTCGTATATTCTGCTGTCTCCAGGCACTGCCACATCCACTATCCAGACTTTTTTATCTTTCTTATCGACAATTGTTTAGTCCAGGGTGTTATGTTGCAGGTGCTTGTCTGTTTGAATTCTGAAGTCCCAGAGCAGTTTAATTTTATCATTTTCTATGACTTTCTCTATTATATGATCCCACCAGTTTTTGCTTACAGGCAAA